GTAGATACAGGTGCTACCTATTCTATTATAAATATTTGTAAAGGCCAATTAAGCAAACAAACAGCTTCAGTCATTGGTGCCACTGAGCAGAAAGAAAACTGGCCTTTCCCTCAACCTTTAAAAATGACAAATGGATGTTGACCCATCAGAGTGCCCCATGCATGCTGTTATTAGGTAGGGTACACTGAGTAAACAACATGCATAAATTACATTTAAAGGAGGAAAAATTCAGATACATATTGCTGATGAAAAGGCTGTGGAGGCCCAAGTGTTTTTGTTACAGAAACCAGACACCAAGCCAGATATACTGGAGGAAGTGGAGAACACAGTCACCCTGCTAGGGTGAGCTGCTGGAGTACCAGGATGATCACAAGATGCGGAATGAGTAACTATCCATCTGAAACCAAACATCAGACTGGTAAGACAGAATCAATGCCCTATAAAACTGGAAGCAAGAAAAGGACTAGAGCCTATAACAGAAAATTTTATTGAATATTATGGGACAAAAATGGACTGTGTTTGTACCTCGCATGGTAACCACCATCCTGGAACAGAAAAGCAGCCATTGGCGTTCCTCAAGCAGGCTGTTAAAATATCAGGGTGTGCATTTGGAACAAGAAGATGAAGAATTGAAAGTAACTTAACCCTTTGAACCCAACAGTGTGTTTGACAACCAATCCGGAAGCAGGAGAGCTGACTCAACTGTTTACAGACTATTGAGCAGGTGTATTTCAGTCGTATCAACCTACAAGCTACACCCCTGAAGGACTTGGACCACGAGCTGTTTGTGGACAGTAGCAGCTTTGTGAAGACTGGAAAGCAGGATACACTGTAGTAATGCACCATGAGCTAACAGAGACTAAAGCCCTGACCCCAACACATCAGCACAGAAAGCAGAGCTGATTGCACCACTGAGAGCTCTGGAATCGTCATAAGGTGAAATCATTAACGTATGGACAGACTCAAAGTTTGCTTTCAGAATTGTTCATGCCCATGAGGCCATACAGAAGGAAAAGGGGTTGTTAACTACTCAAGGTCACCTATAAAATAAGGGCAAATAATATAGGAACTGTTAAAAGGAGTCCAGCTACCCCAAAAGACAGCAGTAACACATTGCAAGGCACATCAATCCCGTAATACTGCAGTGAATATTGGTAATGGCCTTGCTGACAAAGCAGCCAAATAAGCTGTGGGTGGGGACCTTTTATTAATATTGCCTATTAAGTATCAGTGCTTGGATAATGAAGTTCAAGTTATCAAACAGAGGATGAGAAATTGGCAGGGCTATTAGGAGCCAAGAAGAACGACGACAGATGGTGGGTTACACCAAGCAGGCAAGCAGTAATTCCCCTGCCTAGGATTCTCTTAGCAATCCTAAACACCCAGTTTCACAACAAACAGTAAGAAAAACATTTGAGTTATACAGTTTACAGTGGTTTTACATATATATCCTACATTATTCTTTCTGTAACCCACTTTTAGTGTTAACAGAACAGGTAGGTACAAAACAAACCCCTGTACTCCTGACTGCAGTATGTTCAACCATCCAGTGGAACACATCAAGCATACATAACAATACCACAAAACATGACAGCAAAAAGGGGGATAAGAATTGCACTCCTCTGAAAAACCTTTCTACATAGTATAATTCCCTTTTACAGAGTAGCTTCCTATGGAGTTTCTGTCAGAGAACTTCTTGGGGAGTGCTTCCACAGGGGAGTTCTGTGATTGAAGAACACCCTCAAAACATAATGCTTCTTTTTATACTAAAAGCAAGCATGGTAAACAGTGAATGTTTAGCTCTATTTTTCTGGAACCAAATGCTTATTTTGTTGTTCCTATGCAAGTGCCTCCACATCTTCTGACACATACCTATTTCCCTCCAGCAATACCACGTTTGCTCCACCACTCTTTTAACACAACTGACTGCATCATGGAATCAACAACTGTCAGTCATCATTTTATTTACCTTTCAGCCCTGGAGACAAGAGTAAGGGAGTAGAAGGAAGAATGACTGAAGCAAAGTTAAATTCAAGTGAATTTATTGAGTTATAAAGAAACTGCCAGCTCCACCATATTTACAAAGGTTTTCAAGAGGATTTTAGAGCTTTTACTGCTACTGAACCACAAGTTAAAAACATATAAACAAACCAAATCAACCATATCCATGATGTCAACTGTAGAAACACAGGTTACCTTATAGGACTTGGAGGCATACTTGTACATGATCTCTACAGTCACTATCAAGATTCTCATTTCTTTCTGGAGTTAGCCATGCCTGAAAGTCTGGCATCTTTATGCCACTGTTGATGGAAACTGGTTTCTGTTCTTCAATACACACATTTTATGAATCAGGAATTTAGAGACTACTCATGCACAAGCATCTCAATGTGTTAAAATAATCTTGAAAAGCACAAAGAAATCCCTGGTTGGTTCCATTTGATACTTCCACAAGGTGGTACTGCTGCCAGATGTGCATGTAAAATCCTGTCGTGACTTCGACTTCATTTGCTCTGGTTGCAAGTCTAACCTTCCCAGGCACTGTCACTATTTACATCTCAAGCAGCACTATAAATACAGTGCCACCTGAAAAACATCACACTGTTTTTCTTTTCTTACTGTCCAAGACTCTTTGAATGTAGGGAGCATTACTATTTCTTCTTGCAGCCAAATGGATGAAGTTGACTGAAAACAGCCTTTCATTCAACCACTTTTCCATTCCTCACTCCATCCCCAGAAGAGATTACGATTTCTCTAAGAGAAGGGGAGGACAGAGTACATCTTCCAGTTCAGCAG